AAGGACATGAGTCTGGAGGTCTCTACATCCTTGATACACAAGTTCTAAGATCCATAGCCTGTTCTGGAGTTGTAACCCCTTTTGAAGCACATTCTCGGTTGGGCCACCCCTCTCTCCATGTGTTAAAGCAAATTTGTCCTCAATTTCAGAGTTTGTCATCATTAAATTGTGAGTCTTGTCAGTTTGCTAAACACCATCGTCTTAGTTCGAGTCCTAGAGTAAATAAACGAGCTAGTGCTCCTTTTGAGTTAGTCCATTCAGATGTTTGGGGTCTGTGTCCAGTTGAGTCCAAAACTGGGTTTAAGTATTTTATAACTTTTGTTGATGATTACTCTCGTATGACATGGTTATATTTAATGAAAAATTGTTCTAAGGTGTTTTTTCATTTTTCTACTTTCTGTGCTAAAGCTAAATCTCAATTTAATGTTTCTGTACAAATATTGAGAAGTGATAATGCTAAGGAGTACTTGCCAGAATCCTTTCAAACTTACATGCTTCAACATGGCATTCTTCATCAAACTTCTTGTGTAGATACACCATCTCAAAATGGGGTTGCTGAACGGAAAAATAGACACCTTCTDGAAACTGCAAGAGCTTTGTTATTTCAAATGACGGTTCCTAAACCTTTTTGGGCTGATGCAGTTTTCACAGCATGTATCTTGATTAACCGTATGTCTTCGTCTGTTCTTCAAGGTAAGACTCCTTATCATGTTCTGTTTCCAAATAAAACATTGTTTCCTATTAAGCCTAGGGTAGTTGGGTGTACATGCTTTGTTCGGGATGTTCGTCCTCAGGTTACCAAACTAGATCCAAAATCTTTGAAGTGTGTTTTTCTTGGGTATTCTCGTGTTCAAAAAGGGTATAGATGTTATTGTCCTACTCTTCACAGATATCTTGTGTCAGCTGATGTTAATTTCCTAGAAGATACACCTTTCTTTCCATCTACTCCTCATTCAAGTCAGGGGGAGGATTGTTAATCTATACTGTCACATCATCTGGTTCACATCCTATTGAATCTGCTCCTGCTAGGCCTAAGCCACCTATAATACAGGTTTATTCTCGGCGACCAACCCCTCCGGATCCATGTCCTACACCAGCTCCTTCGTCGTCGGATCCAGTCTCAAATGATCCTGTTCCTTCGTCATCAGAACCAGTCTCTAATGATGATCTTCCTATTGCTCTTCGTAAAGGTAAGCGTAAGTGTGCTTATCCAGTGTCTTCATTTGTGTCTTATAATCATTTGTCGTCCTCTTCTTGTTCTTTTATTGCATCTCTTGAT